TAGGTTAAGTATAATTCGCGAGTCGAAAAGAACTTGAGAATCCAAAAAAAAAACTTATGCAGGATGTGGAAACTCTATTTTTTGTATATACGCGCCTAAAAATAGCTATTTTTTTAACTCATTTCAGTCCGTAAATCTTCATTTTCGGCCTACACCGTAAAATGCTCCATTTTCGGCCTAGTTTCTAAAAGTCGTCATAACAACCTTGTCAGTTTGCATGTACCTGTCGCACCTGCATAATCAGTTTAAAATTTTTAGTGTTGTCCCATTCACTTCACATCTTTGAGCTATTAGAGAAAAGTATTCTTTGTTTCACGTACCTCGTACCTAAAATATAGGTTTTTTAGGTACCTACTTGTTACAAAAAATACATATCTTAGCTCGATTGACATAAAAACAGTTGCCTTTGGTTTTAGTTGAATTTTTTTTTTCTACTGCCCTGCGTAAAGTAGGTACTTACTTTACGCACTGTTCAAGCGTTAAATTAGATTTCACACACTATTGCGTAAAGTGATTCACAACAAAAAAGTTTACTAAATTGTAGTTTCTTCGCAAAAATGCATAAATACCCACAAGTATAAAATTTTATATTATAAAAGCCTTTACTGCCCTTTTTCTGCATTAGAAATGTGATTTTACTTCACACTTTAGGTTGTGAACTAAGTTACTTTAAACACTAAAGGGCGTAAAGTTGTGGTATATTTTTTTCAAATTTTTGGCATCGAGCGTTATGATTTATATGGCCCGCTTACAATATTGTCGGTAGTAGAAAAAAAAATGTATGCAACAGGTGTGTAAAGCTTCTTTTTTTATACATTTGTGAAAAAAGGTTCACTTCAGACATCTATTTATGTTTTATACCAAAAAAAATTCTAGTACCGACAATATAAAGCCATACATTTGAAAAAATATACCTACCACAACTTTACGCCCTAGTGTCTAACTTAGTTCACAGGGTGTAAAGTAAAAGCACATTTTTAGTGCAGAAAAAGGGCAGCAAAGGCTTTTGTGATATAAAATTCCATACTTGTGGGTATTTATTATTTATGTATTTTTGCGAAAAAACTAATGCAATTTAGGGCGGGTATTATAAAACTATTTTAACAGAATAACTAAAAGTTAACTTCTCGAATGACGTTACTTCTCATGGTAATTTCAGAAGTTAACTTTTAGTTAGGTATCTGTGAAAATAGTTTTATAATATCGGCCCTTAATAAACTTTTTTGCTGTTGTGAATTATTTTACGCAATAGTGCGTAAAGTAAGTTCTTCACGCGCGGTAGTAGAAAAAAAATTCAACTAAAACCAAAGGCAACTGTTTTTATGTCAATCGAGCTAAGATATCTATTTTTTGTAACAAGTAGGTACCTTAAAAACCTATATTTTAGGTACGTGAAACAAACAATACTTTTTTGTAATAGCTCAAAGATGTGAAGTGAATCTGAAAACACTAAAAATTTTAAACTGATTATGCAGGTGCGATAGGGTTGCTATGACGACTTTTAGGAACTAGGCCGAAAATTGAGCATTTTACGGTGTAGGCCGAAAATGAAGATTTACGGAATGAAATGAGTTAAAAAAATAGCCATTTTTAGGCGCGTATATACAAAAAATAGAGTTGTCACATCCTGCATAATTTTTTTTTTTGGGATTCTCAAGTTCTTTTCGACTATATCTCGCGAATTACTTAACCTATCACAAACTCAAAAAATGTTTCGAAATTAGAGAAAAAAGCGCATATTTTTAAGCTTCTTTTGGTAAGAAGTACCTACGGTCTAAGTTTACAGCTACGATTCAAAGAAAAGTGAAGAAAACCAATTCAATTTATTTTCCTATATTTTTTTTTGACAGAAATACTACCTGTCAAAATGGTTTCATATTTTTATTTCATTCTTAAGTCCAAAACAAAGGTTTTTTTTTTTTACTTGACGAAAATCGGTTAATAAATAAGAAAGTTACGATTTTTTTCAAGAATAGCACCAGCCGCCATCTTCAATTCATCATGGCGGAAAAAGCAAGCCTCTTAGGAGGTGTAACTTTTTTTTACAAAGTACTATTGATGGGTACTATCATCTGTGGAAAAATCAGCTTGATTGCAAAAACTTCTCCTAAAGGCCATTTTTTCAGCTAACTGCCCTGGCCTATTATTCCTCTGCGATATTTGATTTCTGCAGAGTTCTAGAAGGCATCTGACTTAATTATTTTTTTTGTGTTCTGGACCCAATGTCATTCCGTTTGGACTTTTTCTGGGTCCGTCCACATTACTTTTGAATTTACAACATGTTCTCGAAATCTTTCTCAATCACCATGATATCATCCCAACTATACCAAACACGTCTACCAAGTGAGCCTGCGCAAAACTAACTCTAATAGTCCTTCAAAAGTGGCAGGACCATTGCATAACTTAAACCGCATGACTTTCAATGATATAGATCTTTTCCCGCAGTGATGGCAATCTTCTCTTTATCATCCTTATTGGCACTCAATAAAGCCAATATCTACTTTATAACTCTAAAGTCGAGAGCCATTTGGATCCTGACAGGGTGTAGAGGGTATTCTCAATTCAATGTTATGGGTAGCTGTTTTTCTGCATAACGTGATTCAGTCTTGTATAATCCACACAACACCTCGTGGAACCATCGTTTTTGGTAATTATTATGACCGATGATGCCGTCAACATTCAGTATTCTTCGAAATATGATGTAGTTTCGCAGTGGTTGGCGAATAAACATGGAACTGGCGCAATGTTCTAATAGACAGTGGCGGATATACTTATAGGAAAATTCTATAGAAGAATTTTTTAATAAAATTTTATAGAAAAAATTTCCAAGCTGACACCATTGTTTTATCGTTTTGTTTTCATCAGATAAGTTTGTTTTATTTTGAATTGTATTTATTTTGAATAGGTATTTTAAATATTTTCCGTTTTTTTATGTGAACAGGGTACAGGGTGGCCAATTTGGACAATTTTAATAACTTCAATTTCTGAGCAAGATACATCCACTCTGAGGATCAAATTTTATAGAAGCTTTAAGTATTGGTGCAGGCCGCATTTTGATATCTTCAACCGTTTTGTCTCTAGTGGGTGTTTCTCGATTCTGAGTAATACGATAAAGCTTCATTTTTTGTTTATAAAAATAATTGATTTTCGTGAAAACTTTCTCGAACTAGGGACCAAACAGAAAAAAAATTGAGTTGAAGGTTTAAACAGAAATCAATTATGTATTTTCATAAATAAAAAAGTTATGAATGTTTCACAGTATTGCTCAAAAGACAAAAACATCCTCTAGGGGCCGGTTTCTCAATAGCGAGTCACCTCTGGGTGGGTTTTAACTCCAGGATAAGCGTGTCCAAGTTGCTATGTTTACCCTGGAATTATGATCAACCCGAAGGTGACCTGCTATTGAGAAACCGGCCCTAGGTATAATGAAATTTGAGCCTCATAGTGCGTGGTTCATTTTTTTTTTGTATCTGGCTCAGAAATTTACGTTTTCTATCAAAAGCAAAAGTGTCCAAATTCGACCACCCTGTACATTCTTTAACAACGTATGTAATAGTTATTTAACTAACAAGTGCGGAAAGTGGCACTTTTCGGCAAGAGTTAGGTACAATGTTTTTCCTACGAGTGTTTTTGTCCATATTATTTATCAAAAATTGATCAAAAGATCTGCGTAAGATCTAGGTTATCTGAATGAAGAATAGTAGGTATCTACCTATAGATATTAATTTAATTTGAAGTTAAAAATAGTTGGTACCTATATCTTGAATTAAAATATTGTCCCTTGAAAGTGAAAATCGTGCGTATAAGTAAAAATCGTGCGTATAAGTAAAAATTGTGCGGGAAAGTAAAAATCGTGCGGAAAAGTAAAAAAATCGTGCGGAAAAGTAAATTCGTGCGGAACAGTGAAATCGTGCGGTAAAGTAAAATCGTGCGGAAATGTAAAATCGGGCGGAAAAGTGCAGCTTTCAAAACGAATAATCGTGCGGAAATGTAACTTTTCTGCACGCTCGTAGGAAAAGTAAGAATAATATAAAATCATTGTTGATAATTCATAACCTGCGCCCCCCCTGGAGAAAATCCTGGATCCGCCACTGCTACTAGATCGCTCATTCCGGTAATTTCCGCTTGCACAAAGACATCAGTGTCTTCTCTGTTTCTTGATAACCTGAATGATTTCAACTCTTTTTGCAATCCTTCAAAAAGTCTAGAGATAGGTACCCATGCTCTTTTCGGCACAGGCTCCTCCTTTTCACATTTCACCACTCGGATAGTTGGTACACATCTACCGTCTGCTCCCCTTTCTTCAATTTCGCACGGTTTGTCGGTAGATTGGCTTACCGCACTGGAAAATCTTCGATGAAGTTGACTAATGAAAGCTAATGAAAAACCTAATGAAATCTCCATTAGTCCCCAAAAATTACACAAAAAAAAAGTTATTACAGAATTCCATTTGTGTCGAATTTTTTGGAAAAATCAAGTTGAAGAGTCGATTGTTGATGCGTTATAAGCCATGTATTGAACAAAAAAAAAAAGAAGCCTCGAAATTATTGCATAAATTTGTGTAGTCTCCTAAAATTATTATCGAGTGAGGCTCAACACAAATTTATACCACACCTCTTTGATAATTATTTCTGCAGATACAATTAAGATATATCACAATTTCAGTATTAAATGCAAAGTTCTAAAACTCTTTAAAGAAATTTCGTAATTCATTGATCCTAAAAATTAATTTTAAACAAAATTTTAAATTTCAATATAGAATTTAATTTATGGAGCACTCTTGTGATACTTAACACGAACTGGGTAGACCGAATGGGTATGGCTCGACTACTTTCATTATCCTACTTTCTCTCTTATGTCCGCTTGGTATGATCTGAGGTAAAATGTTTTAACCTTCTGTATCTTATGACTAAAGCCTTTTCGAGAGGGGAGACTCATCTCGATGCCGCCAATATTGTTAAGTGAATCTATATATTCCACCTATTCTTTAGGCTCAAGATATTTTTCAAAAAACAACTCTGCCATTCACATGGTTTCATAAATGTAGTTTAGTGAATTTTTTTTGCACAAATTTTTTGGATTAACCCTTTTCTATCATGTGGTCTCAACAGGTTGGTGACAATTTTTTGTTTTGGATAATGTGTCAATTGAATTCGGATTTAAAGTGTTAATTAGTAATAATCAAATGTGCGTTCCTGTGATTTTATTGAAGGACGTTTGAGAGTGTTACATCTACATTTCAAGCAGTTTTTATGAAAATATATTTCGGACATTTTCGGATAATTCGGAAAAAATAAGATACAAGGGATACAAAGTACTCAAATCAAAAGTCAAATTGATTCTAGCTATTGTAGCAATGTGTATTTACGAATCGAAATAATTTTTTTCCTCAATTCTCAAAAATAAATTTAACATGTTCTTCATGAAGCGATAGTCACTTAGCTTCAAATGAAGTAGGTGGCACTTTTTATAAAAAACACAATAATTTTAATAAATAGCATTCCATTATTCCCTAATTTTGATACTTCTAAATGTAATCCGTTGTATCCTGTTTATGGCATGGCACCCATGTTTCAAATCAATTTGGACCATCTAAAAATTCAAAGAAGCAACATTGTTGATGGGACTGTTTTTTCGATTTTAATTTCCGTGCTATAAATAGAGGTAGAAAATAGCATTTTATTAAAAATTTTGGACATGAGATTTTAGACGTTCAAACAGTTTCCTTTTATCTGAAAACATGTTTTGACAAATATCTGTGTGGCATATATTCATGTAGGTATTAATTAGACGTACAGAAAATTCTCCCATATATCATTCACTGCTTCAGTCAGGAACCGTTTTTTTAATTGTTTCCATATTATTTTCCAATTCGCAAAACAAACATTTTTAGGATCGAGGAAAGGCTAAAAAACGTAGTTCTATATCTGGTACAATTGTTTCGACTTTATTGAGCACTGTTAGGTTTTTGAATGTACAAATTAAAGACAGAACATTATTTCATACGCAAAAAGAAGAAGCAGCTTACTCCAACCCTGCCTGATAAATTTTATTATATTTTTATACATTATTATATCTACTTCATATTCAAAAAACACAGTATCGGCAGCTATATCAATTCGATATTGTGTCAAAATGCATATAGTTGCAGAAGCTGAAATTGATTGATTTCTGTTTCATATACTTAATTCGAGCCTATATGGTCTTGTCGCAGTTAATTTAACTATGTTGAAAAATATTACAAAGAAACGTCGTATAATCACTTTTATCTTTGTTGACTTTGTCACATCACCAAATACACTAAATTTATATCATCCATTCCTCGGAGAACCCGTTGTAGTTCGTATCGACTTAAAAAAAAAAACAAAAATCATCTTGTACAAATTGTATTTCTCATCATTTCTCTTTTGATTCCTTAAGATAGAAAATACTATTTCAAATTGCATACGGTATCTATGGAGCTGACAGGGCTTAGGATAACCCTTTTTTGAACTTAGCTCAATAATTTTTCAGTTGACTCAATTTTTTCAATATTAGGCTATGGATTTTTTATTCCTTTCCAATGACAGCTGCAACACAATTTGTTTCGAAGTCGAACAAGCTCACAGTGTTTTGCAATAATCACGATACATTTCGTTAAAAACTAAGTAATCAAGTTAATCACTTCTTAATTTCTGAATTGGCAGGGGCTGCTTATGACTTCTAAAAATTAGAAATATAAATCGTTCAACGAATTGAAGCGGCTCGATTGTCCTATACCAATTCTGCAATTTTGTCATGTCATGAGCCCTAAGAATAATAATTTAAATTTAAATTTATTACAGGCATAATTCAGCTAACTCCATTTTAAAGTAAGAAAATGTTCTCCGCTATACCTTCTTATTATTTATCCATTGTCAACAAACAATTTGTTTTCAAATAATCTTGCGTAAATTTTCTTTAGGAGTTTATTTGTAATAAGGGTTTTTGAGATTTTCTAAATCTAATTTTTTGATATCAATATCATCTACCACCCGCGTGGTAGAAGTTATCCTATAGGCGCACTTGATAGTAGCGACTGCCAAAATTATTTAGGCTTTCAATTCCTCATTTCGAAAATAGTATTTCTCTTGAATTTATCACTATCAATTAATTTGTGTTTTGAAAGTAACTTTATTTGAATTTTCATTGCAGCCCATTCTATATGTACAGGGTGGACCCAATTCGAGATTCCTTACCATAAAAGATAAGGGTTGGTAGTAAAAATGTCGCCCTAACAAATCGCAGAAAATATGGAACTTCGTAAATTAATTTTCATTTTATTTACTATTGGCATTTGGAGAGATCTTTTAAAATAAATGTCACTTCATTATAGCCCCTCTCTAAGATGACGCGATCAAATTTGAAAACCGACGTTTTTTCTTTGAGTCCTTATTATCAACTCATTCGCTGGCTAACGAGTATTTTTTCAAATACGGCACTGGATTTTTTATTTGAATTTTGGTAACTACTGGAGCAGCTGAAGCCAATGACTTGTAACATTATATCATAAAATCTGTTGTTTAAGGTACTTTTGATAATGTGTTAAATAAGGGGACTTATTACATCAGCAATTTGGTCAAGTTTGATATTTGTCCTTCACAAGATGGCAGTATTCAATTAAAAATTCAGCGTTCCGTTTTGCTTAAATACATATTCATAAATTTACGTTTCTTGAAGGATGCTTATTTTCAATTTTTGTCTAATGCGTAAAATCATTCTTTGTTTTAGTAGGTCCAAAAAATGACAAAAAACGAATTTGAAAAACCGCGTCAGATTTTGAATTTAATAACGCCTTCAACCTACCCAAGATAGAAATAAAAAATCAGACTATCTGTGAAGGCATTTGTAGGTAATCTCCTAAATGTCCATGCGGCATTTCATCCAGCGCTAAGCAAGTTAGCTACAATTTAACGGTTTACGAGACCTCAATGATAAGCCTGGAATTTCGTCCACCATGTACATAGAAGGTACGTGCATTTATACTAATAAGAAAAAAACGTTTTTGAAAAGTCGTTAAACTGAAACCAACGATACCAGAAATGCATACCATCAACCAAAGAAAGTAGTTGCATGTCGTGCAACAGTTTTGAACTAATTTTTTTATTATTTTATCTTGAAAAATGTAGGGGCATGTTAAGGAAGTCATATCCATTGACGTAATAGCTTTAATCTGCTTTTTAAATGCGAAAAATATGTAAATTTCAAATGTACTAACACCAGGAAATGTGTAGATAGTGGCCCTCATGTTAGTGCAACGTAAAATATTTGAGTGCTTTTTTATCCAAACGGCGTAGATGTAAGTAGTTTTTGGATTATCCGGAGCGAACGACGCCTTAATGATTTTATGCCTTATATCAAACTAGTTTCAATCTAATTTTTCCAAATATTAGTAAACCTACTCACCTATATGCAAAAATTTAAGAGAAAATTTGCTAACGGTATACGTTTGGATTGTATAATATACCCCTATCACATAACTTGCCGTTTTTTTTTTCAATAGAAAATCATAGATATTGGCAGACGATTATATTTAATTTCATAGGATTGATTCCATTTTTATGGTATAGAATTAAAAGGTCATTCATTATCACCTTTTTAAAAGTATGAAACTATTTAAAAAGTATAAATCCTCTTTGATAGATCAATAGGTTATCGCTAGTCGCGGCTATCCCCAATTACCGTTTTTTTTTTTTGGATTATTTCTATTAACAAAGTTTACTATTACTTATTTCCCGTTTGTGCTATCCGGAAAACGGTTTTGAAAATAATGATCACTCATGTTGATGAGAAAAAATATAAAATTAAGTGACTGGGCTATAATAAAAATTATGTTGGTGGTAGTTGTTACATATAACTCCATTAAAACTTAAGGAAAATATTTTAATAATTTCGAATATTAAATAATCTTTTGCGCCAAGAAATTTTCATCACAAATTATTTCAAATCGTATAACTGAAATATAGTTATTGTAGATAATAACCGTATATTCGATTTCGGTTTTCAGGTTCAAAAAATAGCCATCTCCTGTATTAGGTAACATTTTTAAATAGAGCACCCTGTATAATCGTATGCAACAATCGAAAGCTGAAAATCAGCCTAAGGGCCCCAAGCTGAATGAAAAAAGAAGTTAAAATCAACATGTCTCAAGAGTGCTAATTGCACGGCATTGATATTGAATGAAAGTTGACCCTGACTGTGAAAGTAAATTTCTTAACACGACGTATCTGCGGACATTGGCGTTTTGCTGGTGATTAATATGTATATATTCAACGAATGTTTGGCAATTTTGTTTTAAAATCAATTTAAAAAAAGGAAAGTATTACCAAAGCTTCACACACTTGTGGTTCCTATTGTATTTACTTTTCACAGGTATTATTATGGCAAGTGCAAATAGGTTCCTACCTACTATATTATTTGAAAAAGCAGCGTCCTTGGATAAAATAAATTGAGACTCATTATTTTTTGTTGCTTTCACGCCTAATGATTAATAATGCAGCGAACCAACATAGTAATCCAGAGAGGAAAGGCCTTTTCAGTTTTGGGAACCGATCTAGGTTTGCGGTTTCTGGATAAGATTGTCTAGCATAGAGCTATTTTCATTATTATATTATTATTATTATATTATATTATTATTATTATATTATATTATTATATAATTTTCACATTATTATATTATTTAAATACTTATATGTCTTTTTTTTTATTTTCAGATATTTGTTGCACTATTGTCACTTTCCTTGACACTTCATCATGTGACTGCTGTTGTCAATAACGGCCCAACTCAAAATATAGAAGAATCAATCAAATCAGAAGACAAAAATGATAAAAGCAAAACCGATACAGCCGACTTGGTGGCAGAAAGTTCCGAGTCATCCAATCGTAGGGAAGCTTCAATTTTGAGTTCATATGGAGTTCCAGCATTAGGATCTAGTGTAGGAGGAAATATCCAACTACCTGTTTATGGTATTCCCAATGCTCCATCGAATAATATAGTATATCCCGCACTTCCTCCGGATATACCTCCACCTCCGCCAAAACTACCATCGGCACCATTATATGGACCACCAATTTTCGGAAAAACGTATGGATTGCCACAAGTAAACCATCTACCCCCAATTTCCAAAGGTTATGGCGCACCTTATCCAGTTAAATTTGGAGCTTCTCCAGCATATTCATATAACCAATTTTCAGCCAATTTAAACCCACCAAAACCAATATATGGACCACCCAAAATTAAATATCATAAATATCCTCCAAAAAACTTTGGTGCTAGACCTCCTAAGCCAGTATATGGTCCTCCAATAACCTTTAAGGAGAATAATTTCGGTTACAATAAACATCATTTGAACACCAATAATAATTATTTGGGCGTAAATAATTTTAATGGTTTATACACAGGGAGCTCACTTTCAAACAATGCATTTTCAAATAATCTTTATTCGGGAGTGTCTAGTCTAAGTCATCAATATGGAGCACCAATATTACCAAATAAACCGTTATTGCAGTATGGAACTCCAAACATTGGTACATCGACTCAATATGGTTTACCAGATAAAGTTATCGCTTCTGGGCCTTCATTGTCTGCTTATGGACCACCACAACCTTCGCCAAATCCTAAACCCCCACATCCAGGAGCTGCAGCACCACCCACGCCTCCAGACATAAAATATGATGGCTGGCAACCAATCCCTGGATTAGTTTCCAAAAGACCCTTAGAAGAAACTAATCATCTTACCGTAGAAGGATCTAGTTATCAAGACTTGTCTCCACCACCATTACATAAAGATGCTGGTGATACATATCGGGCCCCGCCCGTTACCTTAGACATAAGTCACGGAAATAGTCTTCTTAATCAACCAGGTTTGAGTGACTCCTACGGTGTGCCATTAAATGCCGTTACAGGAACAAAAGGTGTAAGCGATTCATATAGCGCACCATTGGGAACCGTAACTGGATCTGGAGGTGTGGTAGCATCTTCGGGAGCTGAAGCTCATGGAGCGCAATACAATTCTCATGGGAGCTCTCATAGTCTAAGTTTTGGTAGCAGCTCTCAGGGTATCAACTTCGGCTCAGATCTTCCTTCTATTGGAACTGGACATGGACCGGACATTGAATCTTTCAAAAGCATCGAATATGACATCACTCCACCTCAAGGTGTTCCAGTGAGTATTGGAAGCTCAGCACAACAAATTTCAGACGCTTATGGTGCACCACTAGCAAGTGCGCTCTCAGGGAGCAATTTACACTCTTCTGGTCAGTCATATAACAGCATCGGCTCATCGTCACAAAGTTACAAGGGTGGTTTTAATTTAAATAGTTATAAATCATCTTCTTTATCTAGTGCACCAGTTGGTTTGGTTCCCCCAAGTGGCGTTTATGGAGCACCACAAAGTAGCCAATATGGAACACCATTGTATACTAATACTCATGGTAGTTACAAACCGTCAATTCGACCAGGACTTCACACCAACACTGGAAAAGACAGTGGTTCTTCAGGAAACAGTCACATAGCTCCGTCCAGTAGCTCATACGGAGTTCCGTCAAATAGTGGTGGAGCCGTTTCTTATCAAAACGTTTTCCATGGCTCTTCAAATGCTGGAGTTAACTTCCAACAAACTTCTTTGAATATTGACGGTGGTGGCGCGCTACCTTTGACTAGTTATAATGTTCCACTTGGTGCTATTGATGGCAGTTACTCTTTTTCATCATCACACGGAGATAATATCGTATCACTAGATTATTCACATCCTCCTGTCTCAATAGATTTAACCCAAGCAAAACAGCATGATTGTAACCACCAGTCACTTCAAGCTCCTTCTCTTGCTTATGGCGGTCCATCAGCTGATGGTTATAGCTCTTCAAATATTGCAACAACATCTCACGCACAAACTGTAGTTCCACAATCTACTTATGGAGAGCCATCTTTCCAATATGGAGTGTCAGATTCGCTTCATAGCTCTTCGGTTAAGACAGAAGCCAAATCTAACAGTATCAGTGTTGAAAATGATGAAGAAGCACATGGCAAAAATTATGGAAAGTCAGTAGCAGAAAGTTTTGGTCCTAATAGTGAATTAGTTGAGTCTCAATCAATTGACTTGAACAATATTCAGCTTCAGGGTAATTTAGGAAGCTATACACTTCAAATTCAATCCTCTGAAGGAGGTTCTAGTCAAGTACCCCATACACAAGTTTTAAACGAAGGCTTACTGCAATCGATACTTCAAGCCATAGAGCAACCAGGAAAACAGAATCAAAATGCAAAATACCCGATTATATTACAGCCCAGTATTGAATCAAACAGTGATCTTTCGGAATCGAATCAACAAGCATCAGAAATTAGCGAAGTAACGGTGGATCCACCAAAAGAAAAAACTCTCGATAACAAATTAGATAATGTAGATGATGAAGAAACATTACAACTTTTAGATACCAGCAATATTGCTTTATATTACAAAAAAGACGATGGTATGCAAGAAGTTGAAAAACAAGAGAAACCCAATGATAGTATTGAAACCAGTAGTTAATTTGTGTTTGTATAATTTATTCAATTCTTCTCTTGTTTGATTTTGATAAATGAATTTGCCCGATTGTGAAAGTAATAATAAATTGCTCAATTCCATATTATTTTGTTGCCATAGTTAATTTATTTAGAACTAGCAATTTTGATGTAGTATTTTTTTGAGAAACTCTTCTAATAGTTAGTCCTAATGATTGTCGATAAACTATCTTGTAAATACTAATTTTAAGTTCTGTAAGACTTAGAGGCTGCAGTGAAAGGAGCCTGTCGAAATATTTATTTTTTTATTTATAATTTGTTAATATTTTGTAAAATAAAACTGTTTCTCGCTATTTCTTGTGGTATATTAATTACATGTAACAATTTTAATCCCGATTTTTCAGGTTACAGAGTCTTAATACTCTTAATACCTAAATGAAACAAAATTATTTGCATCACAAAATAGAAGCGAGGTCGATAAAGTATTTTTAACCAAAGATTATTGAATTTGGTTGGTTTACTCACAAACAAAAATAGGAAATATTTGAATGCATGTATATAGGCAACAAAATATTCATAAAATTTCTAAGCAAATACAGATACAGTTGTTATTCATGCTAACGCTGTAAAAAGAGGCTAGCTACTTAGTTGCTGAATGCTCATTGCTCCACAAACCAAATCAAAAAATTCTTTGTGTGTCTGATATCCAATACTAACCGAGGAGGAAGAATACTTGCAAATGCCAACTGCGATTTCGGCGAAACGTAGTCAAGAACCGAGTGTTTTTCAACGCTCGGTGGAAAACCAACATTTGAACTCAACATATACCTACATATATAATATACAATATATTATATATTACGTACATATATATTATATTATATTATATATACAGGGTTTCCCACTGTCAGCGTTACAGGCCATCACTCTTATTTTCAGAAATGAAAATTTGAAACAAAAAAAAACGATTAATGGCTAGTTAAGCTCTCTTCAAAAATATAGAAAAATCTTCCCCTGATGAAATCATCCCCTACCTATATACAACCCTTGACTTTTTGTTTCAAATGGCACCCCTATCATTTTTCTTTATTTTTTGAGAAGCTCATGAAATTGCAAATTCAATGATGTATTGAAAGTTTGTTTTTCCATGTTTCGTTGGAAAAAAAATTCAAAAATTAAAATAATAATATTGGGGTTCTATTAAAAAATAAAGGCAAGAGCTGTTTTTAGGGGTTGAGTTTGTTAGGGAAGATTTTTTAAATATTTTTGAAAAGGGGTTAATTTGCAAACAATTAATTTTTTTTTTCATATTTGTATCTTTGTATCGTTTATTTGTTTCAAATTTTTATTTCTAAAAACAACAAAGGTATGGCCTTGTGGGACACCCTGTATAATATAAAACAAAGGTATGAAATAATAAATGAGATTCCCCAAAATGCTAGAGGTAGCTAATAAAACGATGTAATGTGCTACTAATTTCTTGTTTATTCATTCATCAAGCTTTCGTCTATTTGATTTTAGACTTCATCAGGACGCTAAAAATCTAAAATCTAAATGAAAAAATGAACCAAAAATTAGAAGCACATTACATCGTTTTATTAGCTACCTCTAGCATTTTGGGGAATCTCATCTATTATTCCATACCTTTCTTGTTTCCCAGTACTGTCCACCACATTTATAATATAGAATAAACTTGCGTGCATAGAAATCGGCCTACTGCTAACTTTTGACTTCGACTTGTTTTTTTAGAAACTATTCATGATATTAGATAAAGAAATATGCCATTTGAAAAACAATTTAATATCATCTAATATGAGTTGAAATTATGTATTATAATAATATTCCTATGAATAGTTTCTAAAAAAACAAATAGGTGAAGTCAAAAGTTAGCAGTGGCCCGATTTCTATACACTTAAGTGTATTATTAATATATGTGTAATGAGTAGGAAATCACAGGGATATCGGCCAAAAAAGTCCATGTTATGTTATCTTTCAAAATTTGTTTGATTTATTGATATGCCTCATCGATATTCTTACCGTGTTCGCTTATAATAGCAATAATAGGCACCAGTTTTTGATGTAATGATATTTTTTCTAATGTCAGTAATTGTCAAATTTATGTAGAAAACCATTCGAAATTCTTTCAATAACTTATATTTTAAACATTTCTTCCTTTTTATGTATATCCTTACTTTTGAATCAATGTAAGTATTTAAATATTTTCATGTTTGTATAAATTAGGTACCATATATCGCCACAATATTAGAGGGTCCTGACGATGAAGTGAAAACACTTCGAAAGCTTGACAAATTTTGAAAGATAACGTAATGTAGACTTTTTTGGCCGGTATTCCTAGTGAGTTCCTACTTATTATATACTACTACGGCCGTTGAACGGTTGAACTTATATTATATTGAAAATTAAAATATAAAATCTGACCCTGATGGAAGAGTTATTGCACTTTTATTAAAATTGCCTTTGCCTCAAAATTTCCACTCACTTAAATGAACTATTGACTCACTATTCGAAATCTATTTCCCGCAGAAAACTCATCGATTATTTGCGTGAAAATCTTTCTCTTTATCGAATTTGATAGCACAAGACTTTGAAATTACATAGTTAACATGGAATCGGCTCATTTGCTGGTACTTACTTCTATCGATGTTAAAGATAATATGCACTTTTCTCAAGAACATTGAGAGGCAGTGAAAGAAATCATTCGTCTGTCACCATAGTTGGTAAGTTAGGTACAGACCAAAAATCGATTTCATTTATGTTTAACTAGCTGTACCCTATCATTAGAGCAATCAGCAATATTTTCCGTTCGACAGATATCGAGTTGCTCTAATGTGAGACCTCGGATTTAATTCAATGTACGATACTTGCCACTTGCCACCACAAAAACTGTGCATCAGACGAACCACCTGCAAAAATTTTTAGAAGTGCCATCGAAGTGAATCAGATTCCAAGCATTGATGATGGAGGAAAAGAGAATAACGATGAACGACTGAATGAGAACGACCCTCCTGTGCAGATTCACAATAATTTATTGATTTAACTAGAATAAAAACATAATTAGATTGAACAAATCAGGCTTTAAATGGAACAATTTGTTTATTTGGTTCAAAATAAAAGAGGTTGAAACAAATACTTGTTTTATTTATAATAAAAAGCAAGTAGGTCACAATAAATAAATATTTATTTAATTTAAATATTTTCTATGAGCTAACTAATGCATGATTTATTTACTAGAACTAAATATTTATTTATTCTGTAAAAATGGTTGATATTGAGCTAAACCAAGAATAATTTAATTCAAGCAAACGGAATGGAAACGGTCAAACAAATCCAAATTTTTTTTTAAACAAATATTTGTTTGTCCATTATCAACCAAATATTTATTTAAGGGAACTCCATTTTTCTTTGAACCAAATTATTTTTTTTTCAGTGTACGTGCGTTCCTACGCCTCCCCGACAATTGTTTTAAACTAACCCAAGTTTTAGGCTTTAGATCTATGACTATCCCACAGAAATTGTGCATTTCTCCTGGATGAAAAGTAGCCTATAACACTACCATCTATATAGAGACTACGTGGTATAAATTTCAAGGAGATCAGTTCAGCGGTTTCCGAGTCCATAAAAAACGATCAAACAAACAAAAATTGATTTTTATATATTAGATTGTAAAATAGCTGTACAATGATTTTCGCGAAATGGTTATAAGAATAGTAGCGTAAGCATTCGCCAATCCATCAAGAAACCCTGCAATTGCCTGTGTTGCACGCATCCTTAAGCATCCTCGTAAGGATGCTATCCATAAACCTTCCTGGAGATGGCCACGACAACCTACCAAAGTTTCATCGTAATCGGATAAGTGGTGTAGCAGCGCATAAGGCACAAACAAACAAACATTAATTTTTATATATATGCGAGAATCTGATACCCCAAAAATAGAGACGTGACAGCGACGCAAAAAGGATTTGTGCAAAACCATAGTTGATCCCTTGGTTTTATTATTTAGGTTGTATGATTCACTGTTTATGACCCGACCCATTGTTACTTCGGTAACATTGAAAGGGCTCTTCAAAAAAGAGTTAGGTTTTAGACTAGGTAGTTTTAGTCATTTTCGACAGGGACTTGCATTTTGTACAGCATGTTGAACGCATCGTCGTCCTGATATTTTTGTGAATTTGAAATAAACTATTTTTATTGTTGAAAGTCTAGCGTTTTCTTACATCAGAAGTGGGATAAATTCACTAAAAGTACCACAAGTTTACTAGTGCCGAAAATTAAATTGCCAAGCGCGAGTTTTGTGATTATGGAGCAATTAGCGAAAGTGCTAGCCGCGACGCTCTAGAAAATAAAAGAAGTTTTTCCAAATTCGGATCCTGTATTGGCGACCGAAATTCCTAGTGACATCTTTATGAAGCAAGCAAGCGAAGTGCCGCCAGTTTTTCTGGAGGAGGCCAAGGGATGGTTTTCTATGTAAAAGCCTGTGGAAAAATCATGGGGTGCGAGTTTTCCAGCCTTGTTCTACTAGACGGAATTGAAAAGTAAAGCTTTTCAAGTCACTATACCATTAAACCGAAATCCTTCTGTGAGTAGGTATGCTTGAAAAAAAATTATGTTTTTCCATTTATTTATTTCGATCCTTTGATTGACAGAATATTAGAAATTATTTTTAGAATTCGCTAATATTCACGTAAAAACTACAGCGTTCAGTAGTAATTAGGAACATTGGTTCACTCAGTGATTTATTTAATGATATTAGAATTGAGAAATGTCTGAGTCAAAAAAAAGAACACAAAATTTCCTTGATTTTATGGGGGAATTTCGAAAAGAGTAATTTTCAAATTTTATTATTTTGTTAGATGCCAACTTATTGTAAATTAAAATTAACTTTTTGATAGAGACTTGAGCAAATTTTGAACTACTTTAGAAACTTCTGGAAAAAAATAAGATGTCATTTAGACTCAGTTTTATTAACGTTAAAAGGCATGGGGAATGGTTTAGTCTGGAAATTAAAGATAAACATTTGCGTAATCCATTCCAGGATTTCAGGAAATCAATTTTTGTTGAATAGATTGATTTGTTTACTGCAATATTATGATAGAATGTTCGATCCTTTGGATCTAGAATTTGATGTTCGGGATTTTGACAAACCTCCCATTTATCTTGCTAATAGTTAGTCGATTAGCCCCATTAAGATTTTTCAGTTTTCACGACGAATGTGAAGTTGGTAATTAAAAAAAAAACCGTTTTTTTTTTATTACCAATTTTT